TTGAAAAAAATATTTAAAATCGATGAGATTAGCTTCCAAATTTTTTATATTGAACAAAGATGAAACATAAGAAGAAATTCGTTGTTAGCTCTTATTTCTGGTTTTTAGATCTTTCATAAAAAAAAAAAATCAATATTTATTTTCTTTTATCTTATTTTTTTTATGTCGTTCTTTCTTTTGTTACAAACAAATAATTGATTTCACTATAAAAGGACGAGTTTTAATAGAAATTATCTATATAAGAACTTTATTTATATTTTTAGTCTTTGGGTGAAATTCTTTCATATTTTTCTTTTGGCTTTATCTAATCAACCTAAATAGGTGCTCACCCGACCACTTAAATTAAAAAATTGAAGAATGTGTAATTTATATATAATCCATATATAATATGTATATAATCGTGTGTTGTCGGTATATCATCTACTTATATTAGCTATAAAAAGTAAACAATAAATCTGGCCGGATATTTATGTAAATATTCCATAAGATTTCGGTTTTTTTAGTTTATCCATGATATGACTTCTATTATAATAATTTTAAAAACTCTCTACTAATGTTCAAAAATATCTTATCTTTTTATTATCTTTGAAGTAGAAAAAAGTAAAGAGTTTTTTCGAAATAATTTGTTTACATTTAAAAAAACAATTCACGCCATACCAGTTTTTTTTTAAAATATACTCTTTGTTACACTTGAAAATCGCTATAGAAACTATCAATTAGAAACCAATATCTCTCTTGTTGAGTTTGAGAAAAAAAAACCTTTCACATAATCTAATGATTCAAAACTAATATTCTTCAACGAAAATAATATTATACCCTTGCAATATTGGCTTGACTGCAGCTAAATGAAGGGGTTTCAGCTTATACCCTTCAATTCCTAGAATGTGCTAAATTAAAATTAATGATAGCAATTGTATAACTAAAGTTTTGTTATTTGTTTGATGTCCATTTATACAAATTGACTCTTTAAACAAATATTCTTGAAAAAGAAAACACAAAAATAACTTTTTTTTTAATATTGACTGATTTTGGTGATGTTTCTTTCTCTGGCATGTATGTTTACTTTATTATATATGTAAGTAAACTTTTATTCGATTTTTAAACTCTTTTTTGTTATTTGGATAAACATAGACGTGTACCCTATATATTATATTTATTTTAAAAGAAATTCGCTTTATTCAAATCTAGCTACAATGTTTTAAAGAACTATAATTATAGGGTTTTAAATATGAAAGAGTTTTGTAGTTATATGGAGTAGTTTTTTATTGCCAGAGGAGAAGTAGTATTTAAATAATTAGAAAAAATAACAAAAGTTCTTAACATGATTGCATATGATCATTAACCGAATTAAATATGATAACATGATTAAAAAAAGATAAATTTTTATTTTTAATTTAAATTCAAATTTTAAAACTTAATCTATAAATTCAAAATTATCTTTTTAATTCAAATATTATATATATATATATATATATATATATATATAATATTTATATTTGACTAATATAGTCAAATATAGAATAAAGTTATCATATACTATTGACATTTATTAATTTGCCACTTGGCTTAACCATAATGCCAATTATATATGATAACTTTACTCCTTTAATATATATACTAGTATTAGCACCCGCGCGGATGCGCGGACACTAACCATGTTATTACTTTGAGTTATTTGGATTATATGTAAATAATCTTAAAATTTAAACCTTCTCGATAAATATAGTTAATCATTGAATATTAATTAAGAAACACTACATAAAAATGATTAAACATTTCTCAAATCTCCTAGTTATAATTCTATTTTTCTTTTTTGGTACCATTTTCGCCTATGTAATTGGATCCAAAAAATAGTCACGAAGCAAAATAATAACTCATATTTATGGTAAAATAATTAAAGGTTGAGACTATGAAAGACTCTTTGGATACGACTTGACTTTTTTACTACTGCTTGAACTCTTATTTGGTATGTTGATATTTTTCAAAAAATATTTCTATTTTAAAATTTCAGTTCCTAAAACTTTATTTTTCAATAATAATTATTTTGTAATAATGTAAGTGAAAATATTATCTTTAATTCAAAACTCATTTTAGTCGGCTATCTAAAATTTAAAAAATTCTTTTGCCATTGATTGTTTTTCTAGTATGACTCCATTTTGATATTTGACATTAACCATATTATATATCTGAGTTATTTGAATTATATATAAATAACCTTAAAATTTAAACCTTCTAGATAATTATAGATAATAGTTAGATGTTAATTAAGAAACACTACATGAAAAAAGGCTAACATTTTTTCAAATCTCGTAGTGATAATTTTATTTTTGCACAATTATTATTGGTGTCATTGGAACCTAAAAATAGTCACAAAGCGAAATAATAACTCGTATTTATGAGCTATGGCAAAGCACAAAGGTTGGCACAATATGAACGATTCTTTGGTTACGACGTGACTCTTTTACTATCACTTGAACTCTTATTTGGTATGCTATTATGTTTTAAAAAAATATTTCTATTTTGAAATTTTAATTTCTAAAACATTATCTATATTTCAATAATGATTACCTTTATAACGATGCAAGTGAAGATATTATTCTTAATTTAAAATCCACTTTAATCGGCTATATAAAAATTTAAATGATTTTTTGGCCGGTGAAACTTTATTTCAATATAACTCCATTTTGAGTTTATCGATATCTCTAACTACAGATTTTGAGTTTTGAATATCCTAAATATACAGATTTTTTGTTCTTTGAATAGTTAAATATTAGATTAATTGATTGTTATTATATAACAACAACAACAACAATTGTCTTAAAATTACCAAGTAGTTTTTTTTCGACACCATACTTGGATTAACCTCAATGCAAACTACTTAAATTGCATTTAAATTCAAATCCGAATATCATATCAGTTTGTTAGTAATAGTAATTTTTTAAAAAAATGACATACAATGTAAATAAAAATAATATTCTAAGATATCCTTATCTTATAATCTGTGTATTTGAGTTGAAAAATAATATTTGAAATCGATGAGACCGGCTTCCAAATTTTTTACACTCAACAAAGATGAAACAGAAGAAGAAATTCGTTGTCGTCTCTTATTTCTAGTTTTTAGATTTTTCATGCATTTTTTTCTATATTTATTTTCTTTTATCTTATTTTTTATGTCTTTCTTTCTTTCTTTTGTTACAAAGAAATATTTTATTTCGTAATAAAAGGATGAGTTTTAATAGAAATTGCTTACATAAAAACTTTATTTATATTTTTAGTCTTTGGTTGCAATTCTGTCATATTTTTCTTTTGGCTTTATCTTATCAACCTAAATAGGTGCTCACCCAACCACTTAAATTTAAAAATTTGAGGATGTATAATTTATATATAATTCATATATAATAGGTGTATAATCGTGTGTTGTCAGTATATTATCTATTTATATTAGCTATAAAAAGTAAATAATAAATCTGATGGATATTTATATAATAATCCATAAGATTTCGGTTTCTTGATTTTATCCATGATATGACTTCTATTATAATTATTTTAAAAGCTCTCTACTAAAATTTAAAAATATCTTATCTTTTATTTTAAAAATTACATTTTAATTTAAAAAATAATCCCATTTCGAAATAATTTGTTTACATTTTATAAATAACTATCTCACGTCATACCAATTTGTTTTTAAATATACCTTTTGTTACACTTGAAAATCGTTATAGAAACAATCAATTAGAAATAAATATCCCTCTTGTTGAATTCAAGAAAAAAAATCTTTCACATAATCTAATGATTCAATACTAATATTCTTGAGCGAAAAAATATACTATACCCTTGCAATGTTGGTTTGACTGCAAATATATGAAGAGGTTCATAATATACCCTTCAATTCCTAGAGAGTGTTAAATAGAAATTAATGATATCGATTGTTTAGACAAAGTTTTGTTATTTATTTGATGTCCATTTATACAAATTGACTCTTCAAACAAATATTTTTCAAAATGAGAAAAAGCAACTTGTTTTGAATTTTGACTGATTTTTGTAATGTTTCTTTCTCTAGCATGTAGGTTTACTTCATTATATATGTAAGTAAACTTTTATCAACTTTTAAACTTTTTTTTTTTGTTATCTCGATAAACATAGATGTGTACCCTATATATTATATTTATTTTAAAGATTCACTTTATTTAAATCTAGCTATAGTATTTTAAAAAATTATAATTATAGGATTTTAAATGTAAAAGAGTTTTATAGTTATATACATTTTTTTGTTGTTGCCAGAGGCGAAGTAGTATTTAAATAATTTGAATTAAGATAACAAAAGTTCCTAATATGACTGCATATGATCATTAACCGAATTAAGTATGATAACACGATAACAAAAGATAAATTTCTTTTTTATTTTAATTTAATTTAAAAACTTTATCTATAAATTCAAAATTATATATATATATATATNCATGGAACTTAAATAGTTTAAAATTTTTGAAGCAATAAAATGAGGAAAGAATATTATAAAAATGATGAAGCATATTAAAATCTAAGTTAACAACTTTATGGAGTATTAGTGAATAGCGAAGCCAATAACTGCCCTTTCTAAATGCTAAAGTCTTCTATTTGAATGGTGTACTGAGTATTTATTATTTATTGGAAAATGAATTATTTACATCCACAATTATTTAAACTCTTAATATGACATCAAAATAATAGTTCTATGCAATAAAGCGCCAACTTTTAATTATGAAAACAAAATTAAATTACTTAAAACGCAACAAAACCGTTGAAATTGAGTTCTTGGCAAACTACATTATCATATAATCTGCAACTTTTTAAGATTATTTTAAAGAAAACCCACTTGTGCACACAATTAAGAAATTTCCAAAATAAAACAAAATCCAATCGTAATCCGAAAGTCAAATTTCGTGTAAACCAGTTACCGGCTATTTTCGGTTAACCCCCTCGATCACCCTCTGTTATAAATAGATCAAACTCTTTTCCACCTCTTTCACCAGTTGCTCACAATTCATTAGAGCAAAAACCAAAAACAGAGGAAAATGGTTCTGCTAACACCACCACGAACTCCGGGCCGGGCCACGGCTACGGCGATAGCGGGCTCGTCAAAGCGACTTATGGTGAACTTTATTGGTTCGATGTCTTTGTTAGCTTTGTGGTTGAAAAAAGCTAGCCGAGGAATGAAAACCCAAAAACTCGGGGGCGATTCGCCTAAATCGCCGTTGGCTAAGCCGAAGAAGTTTTTCGCGACGATTAGTAACAAGGCGATTAATTTGAGGCACAAGAAAAAAGCGGAAGGGGAGCTGGTTGATGAGGATTTTGGAGATGGAGGATTGTGGCAGAGAGGTATATTAATGGGGGATAAATGCCAGCCGTTGGATTTCTCCGGCGTGATTTATTATGATAGCAACGGGAATCGTTTGCCGGAGGTGCCGATGAGATCGCCGAGGGCAAGTCCATTGCCGAGTTATCTTTACGCTTCACCAAAGTCCGCAGAAGTGAATTAGAGAAAGTAAGTTTTAAAAAAAATTTTAGCATCAGTATTAGTTGATGTTCTGCTTAGGTTTCTGGTGGCATGTAGTTGAATTTGGAAAATATTTAAATCTTTTTCCTTTTTTTTTTCTTTTTGTTTTTTGCCTTGATGTCCAGCGGTTTGTTTGGTTTGGGTTATAGGAGATATGGGCACCCTGGACCTGAAAGATGTGGTGATATATGAGCTATGCTAATTTTCCATTAATCTTGAAAAACAGTGTATAAAAAGGTTTTGAATTTGGTGGAATAAGCTTAATTTGAGCTGTTTTTGCTTTGCTGGGAAATTAGTTGCTATGAATTTTTAAGTTTGTGTGTATTAATTAACGGTATTATGTTCACTTGTTGTCAATGGTACCAATTTATAGACATGATCGAACTGCTTACCTAGTGCCTCGTTAGTTAATCGGGTTCGATGACCTCTCTTCCCAAATCATAGGTCCGCCTTTGGTTGGGTGGACGTACTCTTCACCCTCATATCCGACCTATGAAAATGGACTCACCTTTGGTGAAGAGCAAAGTGGAATTTTTTGATGCTAATCCGAATTAGGCGACCCCTAAAGCAATATCCAAGTCTAATGGAAAACAAAACAAAAAAATAAATTCTGCAAAATTAATATAGTTCTCCCTCCTATCTCTAATATAACATTTTTGTTATTAGCTTCTTAAGAAAGAAAATGATATCTTTATATATTTGAAATTAATTTAATTTTAAAATTTTATTTTTTCTTAATGACATGTTTTTATTTATATCCGTCGAAGTCTCACGATATGTTTAAAATTACAAGCTTTAATATTTTTTTTAATTCGGTAATAAATTTAAATTATGTCACATAAATTAAAATAAGAGAATGTACGTTATGGGTGATGATGATCTGAGCATGCCAATTTCTTTTCCTTTTTGTCTCCGGAAGAAAAATGAGGCAATGGTAAAAAGGTTGAGGTCTTGTACGAACTTCTGTCTAGTTCAACAAAAAACTATGGTTACGCTTGCAACCGTTGCCCCATACTTGCCTTTGTCGTCGCACTTAATCTATTCGAGAAGGCAAAGTTGATTACGATTTACAGGAACTGTAAAAGTAGTTAATGTTTAGGATCACTTGCCCGAGGCAGAAACGGATATAGGATTTAAAATTTATGAGTTTAACCTTTAAGATTCTTAATATTGAACCCGTTATATTTTTAAAGTTATGGGTTCATATCCACTCGTTATTGCAATTTTAGTAAATATTTACGCATAAATTTATACACACCATCAAAAGTTATGAGTTCAATTGAACCCGTCGAAATTACACTATATCCGCCCTGCTTGGATGCATGTTAAAATTTTATGAGAAGTTGTTGCTTCTCTCTCTTTTTTCCTTTTTCAACTATTTATGCTGTTCCTCAAAATATAGAAAAAAAAATAGTTTTTGTTTTCAATATGTAGAAGTTGCTCCATCTCAAAAGGCCACATTATTCATGTCTTAAAATTATATTACTACTACTATTGTTATGATATACGCTTGAGGGGCTTTCTGAAGCGTTGATACTTGGTGATTAAATCGTTTAAAATAATTTCAGAGGAGACAAGAACATTATCGAAGACATCACCAAGGGTTTTGATTCCCTTTCAAAACCTACGTACACATTAGATAGCCATTATCAATTGCAATAAAGAAAAATATAAATCAAACCGATGTATGGAAAATTAAGTTCTGCTTTGAAAATATTTGTACCGAAATAAGTAAACTTTCTCCAGTCATCAGCCGCAATTCTTTTTTGTTAGGAATAATTGCGATTAAGTAAGTGACCTGGTCAACTTAATACTTGTATAATAGAATGAATTAAAATAATAAGAAAGTGACACTCTCTCATGCGAATTTCAGTATAAGGTAAACTGTGGTTGGAATTGAATGATTCAACTTTTCTTCTGCTACTTTTTTCTTGTTAAACAAAGCATCATAATAATGGACTTGGTCTGCGGGAAAATCTGTGAACACTAGCCATGTAAAATATTAAATTTTTAAAAAAATGAAAAATCAGTATCAAAATTCTGCGTTTTGAGAAGACCAGCTAAGGAACGTACAACCACAGGCCATTGATGACATTAGATCAATCTTTCCAGTCAACTATATATGAAAGCTCACACAAATTACCAATGGGCATGAGTCATGTCATGACTTAGTCCAACTGCAATTTTTTTCTTTTTTCTTAAAACAAGAAATATCTAAGGTCAAAGTCGATTTGTGTCGCATACTTTTTTTTTCGTCTCCTAGACAGTATTAGCTATTAAGCTAGTCATAATTCTTACATATTCCGAAGAATGGGCGGATGCAGCTTTTGCGCCGTTGGTTTATGGAACCCAATATTTTCATGCGGAAAATGAATTTATGTATAAAAATTTACTAAAATATATATCAATAAGTAGTAAATCACGTATTGCTGATTGTCAGTGTGTAAAAGCTTCTTCTTGATCAACTATTGCTATTGAACAGAGTACATGCAACTGGTGAATGTAAGAGAACTTGTGAAGGGACTTCAAATCAATCCAATAAAAACTCTGGAATTTACGTACGGGTCAACTCCACCCCAAAGGTTAAAAAAGTACTCGCCCTTTCTATTCTATGACGGTATTTAATAGGCAAAATATATAAATTGGCACCTGAATTGTACACCAAATATCTGTCACAAGCTTTTTGAGGACACATATATCATATTACACACGCAAATTTTTAAAATTGTGCCTAATACACATTACTTTTGCCAGATGGCACACATGTGTTTAATAAAAAAATGAGTGCGTCAAACCAATGCATTATATGTCCAAATCCTTATATAAGCACACGTGTCTAAATCTTATTTGTCCCCTTATTTTTGTTAATTTAATAATTACATGAAAAGAAAAAGATATCCCTTCTTCACCATTTGGAGCCCTTGTCGTCCCCGGAATCCGGCGACAACCGTAGCCTCCTCATCTCCTCTCTCTTGCATCTCCTTTAAGAAGATGCCAGCCATAACTCATAATGCCGGCAATGACCTCAAGCAACGAGCCGAGAACTCCATTGCCAGGTCGTTAGTTCCATTGTTAGTTCGTGGTCGACGAGCTCAGATCTTCTCCGCGTGGGTGGAGCTATTAGATCTTTCCGGCAAGCTGGTGTTCTTCGTTCAAATCTGGTCTCGTTTGGTTAAAGAAAGGCAAACGACGGCGACCTTCATTTTCCGGCCAATGTTACAGTGGCAAACCCATCGATAACAATGGTGATTCCACAGCAAACAAAACAAACAAAACCTAGAAACTGAAAAATGGTGAAAATTTTATAGAGTAAGGAGAAATAGTATAGTAAAGAAGAACAAGGATGATGAAGAAAGTGGGTCTTTAAAGAAAGAAGAATTTAAGTATGATGGCTTTCTCCCGGGGGAGAAAGAGAGGAGGAAAGAGAAATCGGTTTAAGTGTTTAATCTTTTTTTAAAAAAATTATTAACACGTGTCATGACGTTATTGGTGCGTGACACTACGCTTATTCTCAAAAATTGATCAAGAAAAAAGTGGTGTGTACTAGGCATAATTTTGAAAGGTTGCGTGTGTAATATGATATTATCCTCAGAAAGTGTATAACAGAGATTTGGGATATAGTTGAGGTGCCAACTTATGTATTTTGACTATTTAATAGCATAAGAAGTGTAGTCAGTTTAATTATATATCATACTATTGATAATAGGAAAAAGATATTGAACTAACAGTAGAAAACTTAGCTCCCATTTGGACATTTCTTTTAAAAAAATTGAAAATATTTTTTATTGAAGAAATTTAATCAGTTTTTGAAAAAAACAAATTAGAAGAAAAATTTTCAAGTTCCAAAAATTGATTTGCGCTAGTACCTTTTAGGTGAAAATCTTTTTCTTTCACTAACAAAATTTTAAATTATTTTTCAAGTAAAATGCATAAAATGCTTATATGCAAACACAACTTCAACTTTCAAAAATTATTTTTCTACACAACTTTAAAAACTCTTTTTTTTTTAAAGTTTCAGCCAAATTTATGTCCAAATACACTTGCTTAGTTTGACATAAAATATCACATAAAATCTAAATTTAAATGCCATGCATTTGAATTTCTTGAATACCATCAGAGGGGTTGCTCTGATGGTAAGCAACTTCCACTTCCAACCAAGAGATTGTGAGTTCGAGTCACCCCAAAAGCATGGTGGAGAGTTTTTGGAGGGAAGAATGCCGAGAGTCTATTGGAAACAGTCTCTCTACCTCATGGTAGGGGTAAGGTCTGCGCACACACTACCCTCCCCAGACCCCATTAGTAAAATTATACTGGGTTGTTGTTGTTATGATAACTGTATAATATAAGAATAAAGGGTGTCAAACATATTTGAAAACGTTTCAAACTAAATAGCCTTATAAATTCAAAGGGAAGAATGTAAAATAGACTATAACCAACTCTTGTTCCAAAAGTAGTTCTTCGTGAAAGAGTGGGACACCGAAAAAGCAATTGATGCTCAACGTTTTCACTTGTTGGTTTGAGTAATCAGTTGAAGAACTTTTGAAGGAATTAATCCGAATATCTTAGTACGTTTAGACATCTAGCTAAATTTTAATGGTTTATTGCAACTGTTCTTTGCTGGAATAGGGATGATACGTGTTATGCAAACTCGGAAAGAATGTTCATGACTGGACAGGAAACTAATCACTATTGTTTGTGGAGGTCATAGTCACCTTCATTTATGGAATTAGCCATAAAACAAATTCTTGTATGTCTGCTTTTTTATGGTGGTATAGCTTTTTTTAAAGGGACAAACTACCAAAAGCTCCTTTCAGAATTTTACCACGTAAAAGAGCTAAATTAGTCAATTTCTCAAGAAAACGTATACATAACTACGGCCGTGCATGGATCGGATCGGATCGGATTTAGCATATTTTAAATTGAAATTTTGGATTTCGGATTCTACAAAATGGAATCCGAATCCAATCCGAATTAATATCGAATCCGATCGAATTTTAAAGATTGGATCGGATAAATATTTCAAATTTTCGGATTGAATTATATGTATTATTAAGGCTACTACTAATCTAATCGGCTAATGCATCTGCCTTATCTGCTTCTTTTGTGTTTTGTGCTAATACAAATATCTTTTTGCTTTTCATCCCTTTTATCATCATTGCATCTCTAAGAAAATATTTTTTTGGAGGTTCGAGTTAAATATTTCTTTGGAGGTTCGAGTTGTTATGCCTCTAAGTTGCAAAATTCATACTTATATTTTCTTTGTAGAAAAGGCAATACAGCAAGAAAAATTCA